CACCTGCGCGGCCGGGCCGAGGCCGTGGCACCAGGGGCAGCTGTGGGGGAGGAGCAGCCCCTGAACCCCCAGAGCCAGGAAGGAAACGATGGCGGCCACGATGTCCAGAGCCAGAGCGGCCCGAGCCTGCGGCCAGAGTGACCAATGAGTGACCAATGAGTGACCACAAAAAACTTCCCACAAAACTGATCAAAACCTGACCCAAAAATGGTCAAAAAATGATCAAAAATGACCCCAAAGTGCCCCACGATGTCCAGAGCCAGAGTGGCCCAAGCCTGCGGAGTGACCACTGAGTGACCAATAAGTGACCGCTGAGTGACCATTGAGTGACCACAAAAAACTGACCCAAAACTGACCCAAAAATGACCAAAACTGACCCAAACAGCCCCAAAAATGATCAAAAAATGACCCCAAAAACTGCCCCACGATGTCCAGAGCCAGAGCGGCCCGAGCCTGCAGAGTGACCATTGAGTGACCAATAAGTGACCGCTGAGTGACCACAAAAAACTGACCCTAAATTGATCCAAAAATGGTCAAAAAGTGACCAAAAATGATCAAAAAATGACCCCAAACTGCCCCATGATGTCCAGAGCCAGAGCGGCCTGAGCCTGCGGAGTGACCCCTGAGTGACCAATAGTGACCACTGAGTGACCACTGAGTGACCACAAAAAACTGACCTAAACTGCCCCCAAAATGATCAAAGAATTATCAAAAATGACGCAAAAAAAGACCCAAAAATGTCCTGAAAATTACCCCAAAAATGACCCAAAAATGATCCATAAATTTTCCCAAAATCACCCAAAAATTACCCCAAAATGACTCAAAAAAATGTCCCAAAAATGTCCCCGAAAATGATCTAAAAATGATCCCAAAATGTCCCAAAATGACCCCAAAACTCACCCGGCATGGAGTGGGGTCTTTGGCCATGGCTGCCAACACCGCCCCGGCCACCAACAGCTGTGGGGGAGGGGCCAAAAGTGACCACTGAGTGACCACTGAGTGACCACTGAGTGACCCCGAAGTGACCCCAAAATTACCCAAAAATTACCCAAAAATTACCCAAAAATGACACCAAAGTGACCCCAAAATTACCCAAAAATGGCACCAAAAGTGACCACAAAAGTGACCCCAAAGTGACCCCAAAGTGACCTCCGAAATGACCCCAAAATGAACTCAAAGTGACCACAGAGTGACCCCAAAATTAACCCAAATTGACCCCAAAATTACCCAAAAATGACACCAAAAGTGACCCCAAAAGTGACCCCTGAGTGACCCCAAAGTGACCCCAAAGTGACCCCCGAAATGAACCCAAAGTGACCCCAAAAATGACACCAAAAGTGACCCCAAAGTGACCCCGGAATGACCCCAGAAGTGAC